GACAGTCATGACCAGGGCTTTCCCTAGTCCTTCACCTCGGTGCTCCAAGGCCACAGAGAGGTGAAACAGCTGCAGTTGCTTCCTCCCTGGGGGGGCATTCTCCACTGGCAGAGCACCCACTATGCCTGCTACCTGGCCCCAAGACTCAGCCACCCAGAAGCAGGAGCCATGGGCACTCAGGTAGGATTTGGTGATGTCAGCAAGGTCTGTCTGCAAACATATGACCACGTACTTCTTCCAAGGATATCTGGCCAGCAGCCAGAGGAAAACAAGGAGGGTGACATTAGATACAAGAGCCAGGAGCCAAGAGCCAGAGACCAGGAGTAGGGCGATAGGCACCCCAAGTAAGACCAGGATTGTTTGTGGCAACTTCAGTATGTGGCGGAAAGTGGCGGGGATGTGCTCGACCATTCCTTGAGAGTACAAGTCCTGGACTCTTTTGTGGTCAGTCTCCTGGTATTTGCGGATGTGATGAGGTGCCATGGGGAGACTTCTATGTCTGCAGTTTTCGCAAGTGACAGCTAAATCTTCATGTACACTTTCTCTGCAGCCCTGAAGGAAAGAGAGGAAGCCATGTGAGTGTCCCCGGCCTCCACAAAACATAGGAGAGAGCTCAAGACTTTACTGTGGCCATAAGAGAAGCAAGCCACCACCAGTGGGAGGAGGTTGAGGATCAAAAACACCTGACTGGAGCCCTGTTTCCTTCCATTTCTAGCTATACATCTTGGGTATGTCTTTAATTGCTCTTAGTCTGTGTCTTCACCTACATGTTATGGTTTAATAACATTGCCCCTCTAGGGTTGTTTTGAAAGTTAACAGCCTGGTGAATATAATGTACTGATATATATACAGTTCCTTCCTCTTCAGCCTCATTTCCCTTTTAGGGCTCTTTAAACTGATTGGTAAATGCAGATGACACCCTTTAACAATCATTATTTTTGTTCCCAGGCCTTTGGGCCCTCTCAAAGTTCCAAATCTTGCAGGACTCCTGTTTCCAAAGCAGAAGTTTCAGTGAAGCCTCCTTTCCCCAAGCTAAGGATTAGACTGCTAAGAGATAAAGGGCCAAGTGAAGCCTTCAGACCCTTAAAAGTTGTAAGACTCCATTTTCACACAGAGACCCCCAACTTCATACCCGAGTCCACTCACCTGCTTCCCCAGAGCTGGGAGTGTTCAGGGCAGCCTCAGCCCTCAGCTTCCAATGGACGTCCAGGAGAGACTGTCTGGGGCCTGCCCACCTGTGGGTAGCACATCTGGGTGGCCACCTCATTTGCTGAGTCATGAAAGTTGCACAATGAGAAATCCCAAGGGCAAAGTACTGAGGTATAACAAGCAGGGGACCCAAGTTCATTCACCTTCCTGAACACTGAAAAACAAACCTGTGGGGTCAGCAGGATCTCAACCAGCACAGGCTCCTCACCTTAGGAGGCCTGGCACCCCTCTCCTGTTCCTTCAGGCTACAGCATCTCCCACCCAGCACATCTGGACCTCTCTGAGGTCCACCCAGGTCCTATTCCACACCTGCTAGGAGTCTGGGGACTGTGCCATTCAGCCTGGGCTCTCTCATCACAGGCCAT